ACTCTACGCTGTGCAGAGCGCGAACCCCACGCTGCAGGCCAGCGCTTCCCTCTCTGTTTATGGTGAGGACAAACACATGGTGGATGTTGGGGAAATATTTTTCTAGGCCCATACCTTTGACCCAGTTCATCAGTTTGTACTGCCCTCACTGAGCTCAGGCACCTGTAACCTTGAGCTGCTGTGCTCCCAGTGTTTAGCCTTCCTATTCCTGCCTGTTGGCGTCAGCTGATAGAGGTGGTATAGTGATTCAAGTCATTCGTACATAACTACAGTGTAGTTATTATGTCGATGAAAATCTTAGGTCCCAGGCTCCTCCAACAGTGCAACACAATAAAACAGATAAAATGGTGCAAGTAATACAATAAAATAGAATAGAAGTATAGTGCCATAAGAGTATATATACAAGATAAGAGTCTATATCTATATTTATCTTGTTAAGCACAATGTTGATTCTTCTCTCAGAACTAGCTAAATACATGGGTCTGGGGTAGAGATCTTCTAAATTGGTTTGGCAGCAGCTGTGTCACCTCGTGGCTCAGCACATGTCTTGTGAATTCTCCGGCTGAAGCTCCAAATAAACCATCAGTGTTTGCCATCAAAGTTCCTGTCTCTCTGAGTCTCCATTGCTTCAGAAGTGTCCATCACAGTGGATCAGTGGCGAACCTTGTTTATCACAACTGGACCTTCTGTTGACACACACCCCCCCCACACCCCCCCACCCCCCCCCCCACCCCCCCGCCGCAGTTATAATGTCCGTCTTTTCACTGAATTGTCGTCTTGAAAAGGTTACTCACAACAATTCCGCAACAACATCATCTTCACCTGTTGCACTTGCCATTTCAACGTTAAAAACAATAAAACGGCATATGAATTGCTTCGTCGCATTCATCTAGATCAGGGATGGGCAACTTTGATGGTGGTGGGGGCCACATAATTGATGTACTGGCCACCAGGGGGCCGCAGATTCACTTGGAACACACACAAATTCCATGTGTTGTATGTAATTATTAACAAATATACTAAGTCTGACATCTTCATTGACATTTTACAATCTTTCAGGGAACATCCTCTAATAAGCTCACTAAACAAATATCAGTTCACAGACATTTTATTTAATTTTTACAAGTGGCATGTTTGTATTGAACAGGTTATTTAACAGTGGAATAAAACTATTTTAAACTATTGGAAAGCACGGAAAATGTGTGTGCATTGAGATTAACCATTAAGATGACCTAAACATGAAGTCATGAACACTAACCCAGACATTAGTTGTCTAACTTGAACCTAAGACACTTATAGCCTGTCTCTGCTGACGCACAATAAGGGGAATGTCAACACAGACACCTGTCAACCCACACTCTGCTGTTCCTCAGCGCCGCTCCCCCTCCCTCCCGCTGAAAGTATGAATGAAAAGTGTATAGTAATCATAGATAACACAGCAGGGTCTGTGACAGTTTGTTTTCATCTGATTTCAAATAAAAAAAGTCTTGGTTTTTAGAATATTAAACTTGTTTCGCCAAATTCAGATGATAAATACAACCTTTAAGCTTGTAAAGGCATAATTACAAGCGGTAACTTAACGTCACAGCAGGCATAACAACAGCCGGTGTTTCTTGTGAGTGTTTCCCCGGGAAACAAACACAATAGGCCTACACACAAACGCGTCACAGATTATTTTGCGGTATTTGAAATCATGTACGCAGCTCGCGACGTAACTAGGAGTCTAGTGGACGTTATCAGTACTACAAGTAAAACAATTAAAAAAATATATATATATTTATATTTTTTTTTTATAAATTAAGTTGTTTATAAATTAATCTGAGGGCCGCAAAAAGAGGAGGTGGGGGCCGCCATTTGCCCATCCCTGATCTAGATCCTCTGTCTCGAGCCAGTGAACTATACCGGGCCTTCTAGACTAGAATACCCTGGAACCGAGAGAACCTCTGAAAGAATACGCCCATTGGCTACAGATCAATATATGATTGGTTGATCAAACTGTCAAACTGTACGCTCTCATTCAGTGCAACGGCCAGGGCATTCTATCAAGAATATAGAATACCTTGGTTGAAGGATATTCTACCCAGAGACCCAGAAAAATATCTGATTGGTTGCATTTCTTCTCTAACACAAAACCACTGAAATGCGTAGTGCATGGACCGAGAAGGACAAACAAATCAACGTAACACTGTAATATTACAGATCAACAACACAGATACAATTCTCATTTATTCATTTTATATACATTTTATTACATTTTATTTATATAATTAAATCGATTTTTTGTTTGTTTTATCTGAGTGTTCCAGGGTATTCTCTGAATACCTTGAAGGCCCTGACGGTTCACCACTGCAGTGGATACACAGTGACTGACTCAATAGTTCATACAATTCTTCTTGTACGTCATCCAAACTCTTCCAGAAATTGCATTAGAAACCAGCCCATAGGAAACTGCCCACATGTCATTAAACTCTTGGTAGTTCTACCAGACACATAGGGGGAAGAGGAAAAAGTGCTGATGAATTGTTTACACTACAAGAACAGGTTCCTGTTGTAATGAGAAATGAGAACCTCTTCAATATTCTGAAAAACCTTAAGAATTCACGTTTCATTGTCGTGATATTTGGACTGACAACAAGCAAACTGCTCGCTACTCGCTATAGGAGTAACGTGTTTTCGCCGACCTTTACTCTCCCACCACATCGTCCTCTGCACAGTTTATTTCTGTTTCTGTCAACACTCACCTTTACCTTCTGTGTACTTGTTCCTTCAGTTCCTTTTATTCCTGCTGGGTAAATATCTCCAAACACGTTCCTGCATCCCCATGCTAAACCTAATCTATACAAATCTGTATCACTATGGTTTTTTGTATGTATAAGAACATTGAACTCGCCTGATAAGGGCCACTTAAATATGGAATCCAGACAATATTACAGTAAATGTTTTGAAAAGCTATCAAACCACTTTCTGTAAAAAATATCTTCATTAATCTTGAATGTATTTTCTTATTTTATAGATCAGTAATAACCCTAAAAGACTATAATTGAATTTGCCAAACTGTGATAAAACATTTGGCACTTGCCTTTATAAGTGGACGGCAGACACAAATAATATTCTGTTCATCTCATTTAAGACAAAAAGGAATGAACAAATGTCTATATACTGTATGGTTTAGTTCAGACATAGTCACCTTTAACAATCTCTAAAGGCTTCAAAAAATGTATATGTGGTCCAGCTGTTCAATCGGACGGATGCTTTTAGATGGTGAAGAGACGGTATTAGAGCTGAATCCCAGGTCAAATGTACGCTAAAGGGTCTTTGAGCATGTTTCTCTTCAGTGATTGCAACCTGATGTTAAATGTTGTTTTTTCTTATATCGTGTCTTAATATTTGTCCTTGTTTGATGTTACAAATGGAGCTGCTGTGATGCAAGTAACATTTCAGACTTGATCTGACAATAAATGATTATCGTATCGTATACATTAACGACACACACCTTGTGTAGTCAAAGATTGAAGTTGTTCGTCACGTTTTTCTCACAACTTCTACAATAAGTCACTAAGCTTTTATCCAAAGCAACCTAACCTACATATACTTAATCCTTTAGACATGTCCAAGACGTTAAGTACCTCGCCCAAGGACACTTCGACACTTGTTGACTGGGGATCAAGCTGTTGACCCTCTAACTGTTGCCTTTTTCCTCTCATTAAACATTAACATCCACAGACCAGAAGGGAGACATTGATCCCATGGTTAGCCTTTGATTTGGGAGGGTGGACCCAAGGTAGAAATAATAGGTGGCAATGACACATCAGTTTATTGATCTTGGTGATTAATTACAAGGATATCCCCTCTTTACGAAACATATGTGCGTCTTGAATTTGACTAATCTGAAAACAACATAGGAGCATACAGTATATTCACATGTATTGCCATTGCCAATAAATATGTTGAGCCTGTTTCTGCTTCCGCCTTGTCGCCGGGTCTGAACCTCCATTTCTTTTGTGGATGCTATTCTTCAATTGCTTCTTATTATAAAGCCTCTTAGTGTTAAGTGTGTTGAAACATCTTGACCCTTGTCTCCTCCACCTGTCTTACACAGAGCTCATCTCCAATGTGACGCTGAAAGCCAATCGGACCGACCTGATGGAGTTCAACAGTTCGGCCGTCGTTACCTGCTCCGTCTCCACTGGATCCTCTCTCTCTTTCCTCTGGCTGAACAGCAGCTCTCAGGTTACAGGAAGTGACAGAGTTCAGATCACTGATGGAAACTCCACTTTAACTATAATTAATGTGACGCGCTACGACCAGGGACCCTTCAGCTGCCGTGCGATCAATCCTGTCAGTAATGGCGCCAGTGCTCCAGTAAACTTCACCATCAACTGTGAGTAAGACAGTGATATTTCAGCCATCGGCACTATAGCTTGTACATGCAGTGGTTAGGGAAGTATACAGATCCTTCAAATCAAGTAAAAGTACTTACTATATTAAAATACTCTAATACAAGTAAAAGTCCTGCATTGAAAATGTTGCTTGAGACAAAATAAATACATTTTGTTTGCACATATTACTTTAAGCATTTCATTTTAATACAGAATTTAAAATAAAAAATGAAATAAAATGACTTACATTTGTTTGAGATGCCAAATCATTATCCCTTAAAATAGCTGTCATTCTTTTGTATGGAGTAAATTAAATGATGTTTCCCTCGCACATTCCTCTGTTTAATTTTGCACATTTCTGTTCAATGCTACCTCTCCAAAAACAGCACTTAATACTCTGATTTCCTGCACACATTTTATTTTTCAGAGTGATTTGTCATATTCTTATTGTTCTTAGTATATTTATATTTCAAGTATGTATCACCTTTATTTATTTTGTTATAGTTTTTTTTAAATAATTCTATGTATGCTCCTTTTCTTACAACTAAATTCCTCTTATTTTAGGTACTGTATGCACCATTAAACACTAACGCAGATATGTGTACTAGGCAATACACCTGATTCTGATCCTTGACTGTGTTTTTTCCTTCTGTCTCTTTCTCAGATGGTCCGGATAACATGGCGCTGACAGTCAATGGACAGAACACGACTTCCTTTTCCGTCGGATCCAATCTGACCCTGCTCTGTTCAGCCCAGTCCGGCCCTGAGGCCCGGCTGCAGTGGGCGTTCGGAGGAGAGACTCTGAACACCACGGGTCCTCTGTTGGAGCTGCTCAGTGTCAGCGAGAAGCAAAGCGGGTCGTACTCCTGTCTGGCCTCGAACCATCGCACCAACGTGAACAGCAACATCACCACAAACATCATGATAGCAAGTGAGTTTCTTAGTAGAGAGCCGTCAACCTCCATATTCAGAGATGGCAAAAGTACACACATCCTTTACTCAAGTAGAAGTACAGATACCCGTGTTTAAAAATACGTTGGTCAAAGTAGAAGCACTGACTAAACCTCTTTACTCAAGTAAAAGTAAAGAGCCAATTAACACTGAGGGTATAAAGGTAGGAACCCATGTTTGTGGTTACAGGCCCGCCGGAAGGCCAAACAGTTTTTGACCACACACGGACCACACACACGGACCACACACACACACACACACTTAAGGTATTGTGTGAACCGTAATATCGTGTATGGTGAATGAGAAAATGAGGCAAGTTAAATGGACACCAGTGAACAGGAAATAAATGGACTGTATTTAACTGGAAACTTTGTATCAAACCTTTATTCACCTAGCAAACTTTGTGTGCGTCAATTACGCCAACATAGCGGATCCTCAGAGGCTTAAAGCGTTGGCTTAGCCTCTACAAGAAGTATGGGCTTCGAAATGTACTTAAAGGGGACCTATCATGCAAAATGCACTTTTGTACGTCTTTTAAACATGAATATGTGTCCCCGGTGTTCCAGGGAACTCACCAAGTGTCAGAAAACACAACCCTCTCTATTTTCCTCCATACCCAAATCTCTAAAAAAGGGGCTGCAACGGATCTGATAAAAACTGATCCAGATTTGAACACTGTCCTGACGTCAGGACAGTGGCGCTACGGCTATTGGGCCAACTCTCCACCTATCAGGGGAATGTGGGGTTGGACTTTTTTTCTCCCTCCCCGAGGCAAGCATTTGCTCCCGCTAGTAGTAGAGTAAAGTACTGATACCAGAAAGATGTACTTGAGTACAGTAACGAGGTATTTGTACTCCACTGCTTACCACCTCTGTCCATATTTCTCTATCTGTCCCTGACTTGGTTTTTTCTCCACAGAGTCTCCGTCGTCAGGATCTGAACAACGAGCAGTGGATGTGGGTCTGCTGTCCCTGCTGCTGTTGGTCGGGGTCCTGTCCTCATTGCCCGGTCAGTTGTAGAATAAAGTTGTGTTAATCAGTCACTCTTTTTCCATTCATAGTCTTAGAAATATTCCAATATATATAAATGATATGTTCACTCAATTCTACATGGTTTCCACAAATGTTTTCTCTCAGAAAACACAAAAAAGGTTTATTATTCCTTTAAAATGGGGAAATGTCTACATTAATTCATATCAAGTCAACTCTACATGATACAATGATTTTAAGAGATAGATTAAAGGTCAAATCTACTTCCTTTTGTGAAGTCAGTGATACAACTTCAATGTGGGATTCTTTATATTATTAATTAGTAATCATTATGATATTATTATATGTAATCACTTAAATGTAGGTCTATGAAACAGCTCAAAAACATAACATCCCATTTTAAAGGTAGGGTAGGTAAGTTTGAGAAACCGGCTCGAGATCGCTAGAATTTGAAAATACACAACCGGAGAAAATCTGCCACTTCCTTACAGAGCCCCTCCTCCAACACACACGAACGCGCACATGACCAATGAGGGCACGAGATAAGTTTGTGCACAGATGGAAGGCTGACAGGCAGGTAGGCCATCCAGTTATTTTAGCCGGGCCGGCTAAAATGATTGGTCGTACTTTTTACAGTACTACGACTTCCACAGATGACATTTTTGTATGGATTTTTTGTCAAAGCACTTAAGATATTCATTGCTATCGGGATGTTAAGAGCATTCCATGAGTAAGTACTGGAATAACAAAAAAAACGCTCACAAGGAGGAAAAAACTAAGCATAATAAAAAGAGAACTTAAGATAAACTTAAACTAACAAAACCTAACAAGACTGGAAACAATCCTCTCTTTGCTGAGGCCTGGCACGACCACACGTTGGAACAAACACGAACTGACACAGGACAGGGAGAGACAGGACTATTTGAACATGAGGTGAGTGGGAACAGGTGGAAACAATCAGGGGCGGGGCAGACGCTGACGATGGCGGGAGAACACACAAAGGGAGGAAGTAACAGGGCCTGAAATGAGAGACAAGAGGGAAGTACAAAATAAAACGGGAAATGGAAAACGAGACACGACATGAAACACGGGGACTTAACTAGAGATGAATGACATAAATAGACAGACCTGACATGACGTGAATAAACATGAAAAACTGACTAAACATGAAATGACGGACATAATACATAAACATAACTAACACATTTGACGAGACACAACAAAAGGCACTGTTTGGCAAATACATTATCACTATTCTTAGATAATACACAATATTTGAAAACACTTTGAATACAAACAACCAAATGCATGCAGGAATGGACCCTGTACTGAACTTACAAACCTTACACGTGTAAGACATTTTGATAAGCTAGCCAAGTACTAAGTTAGCTTTTTCACTAAGCAGCCTGACGTCGGACTGTCAAACTTTGGCTACGGTTACATAAATTAACTGACAAAATTGTTTATATTAGTTACTTTCTTTGTCTCTTGAGTTACCATGTCCATTGGGGGAGGTTACTACCTGGTTCAGCAAAGGGCGTGGCCGAGTGCTGAGGACTCATAAATACTGCAAGGAGTGGGACAGATTGGGACAAACCACCTGCTTCCATGTCAAAGGGGGGATTTGGGTTTTGTCAGTGTCCTTTGTGTTTTCTGTTACTATTAATTATCCCTTGGTTTCAACTTCGTTTGGCCAAGCCACTATATAGGTTCCTTGGTTTTTCTTTGTAGCAGGTCAGTTTGTTGAGTTAACACCTGTTAAAGGTGGGGTAGGTAAGTTTGAGAAACCGGCTCGAGATCGCTAGAATTTGAAAATACACAACCGGAGAAAATCTGCCACTTCCTTACAGAGCCCCTCCTCCAACACACACGAACGCGCACATGACCAATGAGGGCACGAGATAAGTTTGTGCACAGATGGAAAGCTGACAGACAGGTAGGCCATCCAGTTATTTTAGCCGGGCCGGTTAAAATGATTGGTCGTGCTTTTTACAGTACTACGGCTTCCACAGATGACATTTTGTAATGGATTTTTTGTCAAAGCACTTAAGATATTCATTGCTATCGGGATGTTAAGAGCATTCCATGGAATATAACAAAAAGTGTATCTCGAGCCGGTTTCTCAAACTTACCTACCCCACCTTTAATCAAACAAAATGTTAAAAAGTTAAAATATTTAATCAGCTCTCCAAAATCTCCCAAAAATGTATTTACGATCATTGGGGATTAAATCATTTCCACCAAATTTCAATACAGGCCTTGCTATTCTTCGGCTTAAAAACAACAAATGGCCAAACCTTTTGTGAGGGAAAAACAGAATGAAGAATTACTCTGACAATCAGCCATGCTTACAGTATATGAAACTAAACTGCATACACTGATTTAATCTGACCTGACTAATAGTTTAAATAACTATCATCAGTCTATAATTTAATATTCCATCTGTCACATATGTAAATAATACCTTGCTTTAAATCTTGTTATTGTTCATTTGTAAATTCAACATGTATATTTTCTACTTTCTTGTTTATTTCTTGTCTTTTAATTTTTATTGTACAATGCCATGTCTTTTTATGCTGCTGCAACACAAACATTTCCCAAATTGGGATCAGTAAAGTTCTATCTTATCTTATCTTATCTTATCTCTCTTTTACAGATGTCGGTGGCTCCTTCAGTCGATGAATGACTCTGATGCAGTGAAATAAATCAGATCCAGTGAACCGTAAAACCATAATACATAATTTAAAACTAATTATATGTGTCTTTAATTCTTTTTTTGTATTCACCAAAGAAATTATGAATACAATATTATTGTTATAATCAAATTTGATCAAGATTAGTTAGATCAAAGTATTGTATCTTTGACCTATTTGTGTGTCATGTGTACTAATCAAACAAGGAAATCTGGCTGATAAGGAGTACTGAAAACACTTTGCACAACCTCATACCTCAAATAAACAATGACACATGGGTTGAGTAACTGTACTACCCAGACAAAAAAAATATTCCATTGTACCCATAATAAAAAAATGCCACTGCACGGTTTAAGACTTTGTTTGTCGTACTGTGTAGCGCTCATGATTTCCACTTGAATTGCTGTAACTATTGAAGAAAGATTGAGTATTTAATAATTCAACCGAGAGAAAAGCCCTTCACGTTGCATTGGCTGATTTGTATACAGGTTTAAAGGGAACATATTATGAAAAACTCACTTCTACATTCTGAAGTACCAAACTTCAAACTGTGAAATGAGACAATCCAGTCAGTTTTTTGTCAGGATTCAACAAGCCATTAAGACTAAGTTCCCCTTGAGGCTTATTAATATAAACCATTCCATCTGAGTATCTCCGCAATTTCTTTGAAAGCCCATCAGAGCATTACATTACATTACATGTCACTTGTTAGTCACTTTTATCCAAAGCGACTTACATACTCAATACTGTGGACAATCCCCACAGGAGCAATTTGGGGTGAAGTGTCTTGCCCAGGGACACAATGACATGCTGACTGCAGTGGGGTTTGAACCTGTGACCCCCTGATCCGAACACCAACACTCAACCCACTGCGCCACACGCCTCCCAGATCAGACTGGACTTAAAGTGTCAGGCGTTAAAACAAAGAGATTCAGACAGAGGGTAAATACAGGTACACTCGAACAGACAGTCAGAGAAACATAAAGGTGTTTTAGTAGAAACATGTATGCTTATTTTCAGGTACACACAAGTATGAAACCTTAATATCAGCATATTGTGTCCGCTTTAAACAATGAGGAAACTAAAAAGAAACATCACAATCATTCATTGGTGACCACTGACAGTCATTAGGGAAAACCAAAAGACTATTGAAAAGTCACATTGGTTTTATTCCTTAGAGGTACTTGGCATATTCAGAAGCTTTGATTCCAGTATCATATTAAATAAAAGTGTATTTCCTCTGAGAAGCAATAGTATTCCTAATATTCCTCATGTGGGTCTGCAGGTACATTAACCCTTTTACCCTCCATTGAATCCTGTCAATATTGTTATACATGATGCAGCTGGTTATCCAAAAACTGTAACAGCGAACATTGCCAATCTGTCATGATGGAGAGTTACCAATGATATATATTTAAAAGGATTTCCAATAGATGCTTAAATAGGTGTACAATCTCAAATAACATATCGCCACCTTCTTAAACTAATTGCCTTAGTCAACATGAACAAATTTCCCTCTGGTGCTCGGCTAGTATTTTAAACTGTTTGTGGCTGACCCTTCCCCATGGTATGTCACAGTAGTGGGAATAACAGAAGTGAACTGTTTTGCCTAAGTCACTAGCTCCAGAAGTAATTAAGTCAGGTTTAAAATTGCCTACGTAACAATGGCATTTTGGTAAATTGGCAAAGTAATATTATCCTCTTATTTTACATAATTGAAAGACAGTGTTATTTATATGTCAATAGTCATATATAGCCATAACCTTTTGTGTATCATATATTCTATATTTGGTTCAGTTTTTTCAGTTCTTGCCCTTGGTTATCCAGTTTGTTCCTCCTGTATTGAGGATGTGTTGTGTTAGCCCACAGTATACTTTGTATAAGAGAACCACAACTCCACTGAGCAGGTCCTTGCTCTTGTTCTTATCTGGTTTGTTTAAAGTTGCAGAACAAGTGAGGTTTACAGTAAATTGCCACACCTTGTTAGGGTTGGTGCTGGGACCAGGGCAAAACAAGGTGTGGCCATGACTGGGTGGTGGCTCAGTGATGGTAGGGGTGAGCATTTATGTGAATTGAAAGCTTGAGCAAAGTAGAGCAAATATTTGCTGATAAAAAGGTGACTGTGATCACCCGATTATAATTACAACAGCCAGAGTCAAGTCCATTCAGTTGGCAAGGAAGGATCTAACAAAAAAGAAACTGGAGATTAACATGGATGTTCGGGTGGTGTTGCTGATCTTGGCCACGACGATAACAGGTAAGGCTGATTATTTAGAACTTGATTTCAATGTATATGTCTTATTCTATTAACCCATTGGTAGCGAGTCTCCAGATCCTAATGATATACAAGTTTTAAACATGCTGCTTTGTGTTAACTTTGAATCTTATACTAGAAATATTGGTGCATGGATAATAATTACATTTAATTTAACTAAATGTTTTCTGTTTCTAGCTACGGGGAGCCAGCAGATATCTGCCTCAAGGAACCCGTTACCAGTGGGCAGCAACGTCACACTTTTCAGCCAGGACCATGTCAGAGCAGGAACGTGGATCTTTGACAATACTTTGATTGTCTTCATAGCTCCGGGAATTTTAAACATCGCCAACTCTTGGAAGGACAGGGCTACATTCAATTCAACCACTTCATCATTGACTATAACATCAGTGAAGCTAGAAGACTCTGGAGAGTACACATTACAGGCAATTGATACCTTTACTGCTAAGTTAACACTGTCAGTCCAAGGTAAGGACACCGTTTTTGTGTTTACTCCTTCCTTAATATACTTTCTCACACTCTACGTATCATAAATAAAGCTTAATCTTAAAAAACATACATAATCAACCTTTCATGTATTGTATTGAAAGACCTAATAACATCGTTTTTAAACAGCAATCAGCATGGAGTATTTGTATATTTCAATGTCTACTTCAATGTTTGCCAAGTTTTTATTTGCAAATACAAGTGCAGTACGTGATCTGTAGCCATTACGGTCACCTTGCATTTGACTACAGCGAGTAGAATGAGTCAGCTTTGCTCGTGTCCTAGGGTTTAGATCTTCAAATTAAATAAGTAGGACATTTTGATTTACATTTTGTTGTCTGAAACAAGACTACAAGTGTTCAGCTATCCGAGGCTTTACTCAAACTAAATACTAATACCAGTGTCCCTATATTGTTATTATATTTTGCACTTAAAGCAATGTACATCTGAGGCTGATTTAAAGATATTCAGGAATAAACCAAATTATTGGACAAATCAAATTGACCTAATGATGGAAATAGGTAACATATTTAGGGACAAAAAGTGATTGCACTATCTTCAGGTTTATATTAATGTATGTGCAAAATGTATTGGCAATTGATCCACTAGATGATGAGATGTTTTAGTTTGACCCAAAGTGGTGGGCATTGAGGCCAATATATGGTGCAGGGATGACATTTTTTGTAGGCCGACTCGGAAGTAAGCCTTGCACTAATTTCATCGACGAGAAGCCAATGGATTATTGCAGAAAAAAAGTTTGGGCCTTGGCATTAATCAGACTTAAGTTCATATCACATGAGTCATATTTCAACCTATGTCTACTATTTAGAATCAGAATCAGAATCAGGTTTATTACCAGGTAGGTTTACACGTACGAGGAATTTGACTTGATGTCATGGTGCATACATAAAAAATAACATAAAAAATTATTAGAAATAATGAAAAAAAAGTCAAATATAGCAGTATTTACAGAATGGAATAAAAAGGAATAAAATATGGAATAACATTTGGCCGTAATAACAAAAAAGAAAACAGATATTGTGTACATGTTAATGTCTTCATTGAGAACATCTCTTGTTTACTACAACCCCACATTTCCATAAAACCTAACAAATAGCTTGTTTATTTCTTTTTTTCCACAGTGCCTATTTCCAATGTGTCTCTGACAGCAAGTGCCACTGACCTGGTGGAGTTCAATGACACAGCAGTGCTCACATGCTCTGTGCTCAATGGCACGTCCCTGTCTTATGTTTGGATGAAGGGCAGCTCAGAGGTGGCAGCGGGAGCGAGAGCACAGCTCAGCGATGGAGGCGCCACTCTCACCATCGTCGGGGTGACACGATATGATGAGGGGTCGTACAGGTGCAATGTGTCCAATGGTGTGAGCGATGCTATCAGCCCCCCTGTTCACCTCAACATATACTGTGAGTATATGTAATAATAGCCTAGTTTATGTATGTTGGGAAAATACTAAATGTACTCTTCCAATATCAGAGTAGCACATGATAACAAAGGTATCCCAACTGTAGCTGTGTACATAACAGGATGTATGATTACCTAGAAGAGCATCAGGACTGTTTTAGGCATGTGACAGCTATGTGATTAACATGATGATTCAGCCTCTATGGAGATAGACATATGACAAGCATGCTCATTTCTGAGGTGGGCCTTAGCTAATCTGAACTAAACATTGTATACTGCTTTGAACCGGTATTCCTCCATCTTGTGACTGTGTAACTCCCTCTCTTGTATATAAGCATGGGAAGGACACTGTTTAGGAACTAGTTGTACCAAATGCTCTGTGATGACTACTTCCATTCTTGCAAGGATAATAAATACATGTATCCTGATATTGAAGCTCAAGCCGGTGACGAGTGATATTTTTCTAACAATGTAAAATAAACTTCAATCACTCAACGTCAACCGGTTACAACAATTTCCCTTTTCTTGCTTCGTCAGATGGTCCCAGTAACACAACAATGACAGTCACGCCCATGAGGTCCGCCTACATAACGGGATCTAACATCACACTGTCTTGCTCTGCGGAGTCTAAGCCTCCAGCGGGTGTCCAGTGGATGTTTAATGGGGTGAACCTAAATCACTTTGGCCAAGAGCTTCAACTGGAGATGGTTGCAGAAAACAAGTCGGGAAATTACCAATGCATACTTCACAACACAGTCACGTCCAGGTTCACGAGCAAAAGTGGAATGATCAGGATTTTGAGTAGGTTTTGGATTCGTTTTTCAAGTATTTGAGCTAGATTAAAGGATTGTTGCTGTTAGTTTACCTAAGGGTAGACATAACTAGCCTAGCTGTGTTCAAAGATAACAAACTCTACCCAACTGCACCTCCAACGCTCAATAATTAAAAGTCTATTTGCCTTGCATGAATACAAATGTAAAAAAAAACATTGGAAGTCAGGGTTATTTGCAAGACTTGAATGTGACTTATTTGAATTCTGCTGTCTCCGTGATGTTGCCACAAAGCCAGCTGAGACTTATATTTACACTTAAGTTATTGAATGTAATAAGCAATGAGATATACAATGGTAATTAGGGACTTTTAGAGATACTAGTGGCAGATTTTCTTAACGAGCCATAGCTTTCTTCCCCGTTTCCAGTATTTATGCTAAGCTAAGATAAACTACTGTTAGACAGATATGACAGTGGTGTCAATATTTTTAATTTTCAGTAAAAAAAAGTAAATACATTAGGCATATACAAAACTATGTCAGGCTATTATTTTAAATATTCTAGTAATATATACCAAATTCATTAGATCAATGTTAATTTGTATTACTAATTTTCTTTCTCTTTCTATAGCACCGATAGCAGCCGTTGTGGTGAATCCAGCAGGTGGACCACCAATACTTCATGAGCAGTACATGCTGCATTGTGAAGTGAATGGATATGTTGAAAACATTCAGTGGTCGAGGAATGGTCAACCAATTACTGCTGACAATACAACAGTCATTGATATGACCAACAGGACACTTCTTCTCAAGCCAGTCCAACTTTCAGATAATGGAGATTATCGGTGTGAGGCTTCTAGTCCTGTGAGCAACATGACCAGCCACCCTTACACAGTCGAAGTAAACTGTAAGTATTTTAAAGGTCACCTATTGTGCAAAATGCACTCTTTCATGTCTTTTATACATAAACATGTGTCCCCTCTGTGTAAAGAGATTCTGAAAGTTTCAGGAAAAAAGCTTTGCTCACTTTTTGTCCTGATCCATTTATATAAAAACCTGTCTGAAAATGAGCTGATCAGATTTTGGCCACTTTATGATGCCATAACGATTTTTTTGGCTTGTGTAACCATTAGCTAATCCACCCCCCCCCACCCTTATCACCTGAATCTCCTCCTAGAGCACCATTGAGTTCTTTTTAACCAAATCTCTCTCAGAGGGGCGTGGGGAGTGGCTCCTTATTTTCATCTAAAGTAACAGACAGAGAATCAGCACTTTTGAAACAGGGCTGAAACAGAGGGGATTATGGGATGCTGCAATGATCTGTTTGGTGTTTGGAGCCAAACACTTCAGAGACATGTTTTGTATATATCTGAGACCTATAATATGTTGATGAAAAACAGTATAATAGGGGACCTTTAATATTATCTCCTGTAGATGCACAAACAGCACATTAATGTATTTTATAAGTATTTTAACCTTTTCAATTTTTTTCTTACTTAAAAAGATGGCCCAATGACACCAGTGATTGCAGCACCTTCCATGGCTCTAACAGGACAAATGGTAACCCTCAACTGCTCAAGTGACTCTCATCCACCCAGTCACATAAACTGGTACTTCAATGGATCCCTGCAGGCTACCACCTCAGAACTAGTGATTGGACCTCTGACCTTCAATATGAGCGGGCAGTACACATGCATGGCCCACAACAACATCACCGGCAAAAACAGCTCAGCTGACACAATGCTCACACTTTTGGGTAACTAAGTATACAATAATATGTTGAAGATTTTTGAAGGGAGGCCCTTCTAGCCTGGCTCTATCCAAACGTAGCAAAAACTAGCTACCTGCACTTCCAAAACTTCAACTTTATTTTAACATTTGCTTTTGCCAGTAAGTCTAAGAAGTACTTTTCATATCTTTTGGATTTAGCCAGGCTACATGTTTTTGCATGATCCCAACAGGCTATGCTAAGCTAAGCTAAACAACGTGTGGCTGAGAGGGCTGCCAATGACCCCATTTACAAGATGTCTAAACCAGGCTACCAATGTATTATACATATTTTCGAGTTTAGCCAGCATCCTTTTGTTTTCTGTCTTTCCACAGCTCCAGTGACTATGGCATCAATAAAGATTGTTGGAGCTCAGCCAATCATGAACCACACTTTCACTCTGAGCTGTGAGACAGCTGGAAGTGTGCATTATATTGGCTGGATGTATAATTTGTCCCAACTGCATGCTGATAACACAAAAAACCTCTCAATGGACAACGCAACCCTCACCTTTAATCCTGTCACAAACGCTGACAATGGGGACTATAGATGTGAGGCAAACAACGCACTCAGCCACTTTGTCGGCCCCATCTTCTCGCTGGAGGTTTACTGTGAGTACTCACTTTGCAGTTTAGCAACATGTTCACCCCTTTTGACGGGGGAGAACTTTTTGGACCTGTCACAAACGTAGTGAAAATGTGATTCAACCAGAACCAAAGAAGTAACCCATCCAAAACACTGTAATACTGCCGTTTAAAATATAAATGAATGTAAGAAATAATTAACTTGTGAATGACGTGAGACATAACACAGTAGATCTATCATAAAATTCTGACTGAAATAACCTCAACATCAGATTGTTGGTGTCAGGTTAACCGAAAGTGGACCTCTCTGATCATGAACAGTTCTGCGTTGTAAGAATGTCTTTATGAAGGTGATTTTAAGGTAATATCTCTGTGTTTAGATGGCCCGCACAAACCAACTATCATGGGACCAAGTTTCTTAGGAGCTGGAGACAACGCCCCTTTCAGCTGCTACGCATCATCAAACCCTCCCAGCTCCTACAAATGGTTTTTCAATGGTTCTCTAGTTTCCAATACATCTGAGTATGTCTCCCCTCCTCTTACCGAAGACATGAGTGGGACTTACACCTGCATGGCCTACAACAACATCACCGGCAAAAACAGCAGTGCAGACAAGATGCTCACTGTTTTGGGCAAGTAACATGTACAAAAAAAACAGTAAATGTTCGTAGAAATGCTAATTTGTTTGGCATGATTGTTGACACTCTGTCTGTTCAACATGAAGCTACAGCCGGCAGACACTTAGCTCAGTTTAGACTCGAAACAGTTCTAAACAGCTAGCCGATCTCCATCCAAAGGTAACGCCATTTGACTACCAGCAATTAAGATATTTATTTCATACAAATTAAACAAATGAGTAGTCAGAGAGCCTTATATGTGCTACTAGGCACATTCTTTAAAGTGGACCTATCATGCTATATTATAATAATATAGTGTAGGACAATACCTACAGTATATAAAGCATATTTATACTTTTTTTTTTTCAAAATACCAAACAGATCATGCATTTTAGCCATGCCTCATTTTGCTCAATTTGCACTTTTTTACCCCTGTTTTAGCAAGGGCTGATTCTGTGAGAACAGCACCATCTACAGGCCTGGCATATGTACTACAGCGTCTCCAGCGCTTTCGAACGGCAATGGCCGTGGCTGTCTCCTCCTGATTGGTGGAGTTGGCCCAATAGCCGTAGCGCCACTGTCCTGACGTCAGGACAGTGTTCAAATCTGGATCAGTTTTGATCAGATCCGTTGCAGCCCCTTTTTTAGAGATTTGGGTATGGAGGAAAATAGAGAGGGTTGTGTTTTCGGACACTTGGTGAGTTCCCTGGAACACCGGGGACACATATTCATGTATAAAAGACGTACAAAAGTGCATTTTGCATGATAGGTCCCCTTTAATTTGGATGGATCCAGGCTCGCTGTTTCTGCCTGTTTCTTATCTTTATGCTAAGCTAAGCTGAGCTAAACATATTGGGGAATAGTATGTTTTCATGGAAGAAAGCAAATGTTTCCCAAAATCTCAAACCAATGTTTATTTACTGCACAAATGAAAATCACTAAAACATATAGCCAATGTTTCATACATTTCTTCGAGTGCCGCCATCTTTTTATTTTCTCTCCCTCGATAGCTCCAGTGACTATGGCATCAATAAAGATTGTCGGAGCTCAGCCAATCGAGAACCACACTTTTACTCTGACCTGTGAGACAACAGGAAGTGTGGAGTCAGTTATCTGGATGTATAATTGGTCCCCACTGTATGCTGACAACAGAAGAAACTTGTCAATGGACAACACCACCCTCACCTTTGATCCTGTCATGAAATCTGACAATGGGAACTATCAGTGCATAGCATCCAACCAATTCAGTAGGAACTACAGTCATATCTTCTCGCTGGATGTTTTTTGTGAGTATTCATCGTGCATTTTATCCCAATCCCCCTTTGACATGGTTGGGCTTTTTCAATCCATCAAAAAGAGAGAGATTAAATCAACACTTTGATTATATATATATTTTTTAATCTGGAAAATGTAACCAAATAATTAAACATCCAATTGTTGGTGACAGATTATCCAAATGTGGACTTCGGCGGAGTTCTTTGCATAAGGCATTGACAGTCATGTGAGAGTTTTCTTTTCAGTAAAGGTGATTTTAAGGTTATGTTTGTGTGTTTAGATGGACCAGAAATGCCAACTATTATGGGTCCCAATGCTGCTAAGAGAGGAGACAACGCCACATTCCGCTGCTACGCCTCATCAAACCCTCCCTGCTCCTATGAATGGTTCTTCAATGGTTCTGTAGTGTCCGATACGTCTGAGTATGTCGCATCTCTTCTCACTGGAGAATCGAGTGTGATGTACACCTGCATGGCCTACAACAACATCACCGGCAAAAACATCACTGCATACAAGATGCTCACTGTTTTTGGTGAGACTTGGACTGCTATTTTACAGTTCTGTTATATGTTATGCAAAACAGGACATTTGGCACTGGAGAGACCTAAATAACTGTTGCTTTTTTTCTTATCAGATCCAATAGAAGATGTACAAATAGAAACATCAATGAATCCTGCCATAGTAGGTCATTTTTATAACCTAACGTGCAATGTGACTGGAACTGCTGAGCATTTTTACTGGATGAAAAACGGTGAGCTTCTGCATGAAGACAACAGAACTGTTTTCTACATGGATTACAAGATAGTCACTTTCAACCCGCTTGAACTAAATGATACTGGACTGTATCAGTGTATGGCTCTCAATCCTTTTTGGAACAAGACAAGCCCTTCTTACATGCTTCTTATGAACTGTGAGTAACACTGAAGTGACAAGTATTAACTGACCATTTTTTAAATCTTAATTCATAGTATTTGTAGTTTCTAAATGTTGGTACCACGAGAGCCTACTTTCTTTCTTCCTGTTGCAGATGGACCAGAAACACCCATGATTGATGGTCCAGCTTTTGCGGAGACAGGACAGTCGGCTGTCTTTACCTGTTCTGCCAAATCAGTGCCTCCGAGTCACTACAGCTGGTGGTTCAATGGCTCCAGCGTGGCCAATTCTTCTGTGTTCACAACTGACCCTTTGTCTTTCAATATGAGTGGAGAATACACCTGCATGGCCTACAATAATGTGACGGAAAACAACAGCACTAACTCCAAGATGCTCACAGTCATTGGTAAGAAAAACTCAGCATCTCATATTGTATTACAAGCCTAACTTCCTACTGTAATCTATATCTTTTTACATATAATATTAATATGCCACTATAATGCTCATTTCCAGGTTCTTTGTATTTTGTGTTTCTACTGTGACATGTTTACATGCTTTAATGTTCAAAAAGGTCTGTAAAGACTGCTGTAAAGCTCTTTTCACCCTCTGTCTGAAACCAGAGCCAGTCTGCTCTGTTAACTGGCCAGCTTTATTGTGATTGGTTAATCGCTTAGAGATGTCCCGCCCCTTAACCTATCACGTACAATGTGTTGAAGCGCTAGCCAATAGAAGCGCAATTGTTAAATAGTGATGTCACTATGTTATGGAAGTAAACAAAAGAGTCCAAGGGAGACCATTTACATGCACATTAACCTATATTACACACTACAGGAAAGGGACAAACCCAAAAAGCCTAACATATTTAAATATACTTAACTGCTTTTGTTCTGTTTGAATGCTAAACTACATTTAAAAGTAGAATGTAATCGTATCTAATGGGTTTGACTTCTTCAATGCATGTCATGTGACTGTACAACTGATGACATACTGATTGATTCCTGCTGTGTTCTCTTCCCACAGAGGCAATATCATCAGTGATGATCAGAATCACCACAGTTCCAATAAACTTAGATGTCTTCACTCTCACCTGTGACGTTTCTGGGCCTTATGACATGATCTACTGGATGAAGGACAACATGCACCTCAACATGACAAACTCCACAGCAAACCCTCTCATGTCCTACCACATTAATAACAACATCCTGTACTTCACTCCGGTGAATCGGATTAATGACGGGACATATGAGTGTGTCGCTACCAATCAGGCTGGTCAACACAAAAGCCCCAAATATATGCTCCTGGTGAACTGTGAGTTGGGTGGATTTGGCAAAAACTTTATATAAGTTAGGCAAATATGCATTAACAAAATGCAAAAGTGAATATATTGTAATATGTATTGGTAATAGTGATTTACTATAACAGTAATTTTTACACATGCCATTTTACCAGGCCACAACTTTGAGCGTTAAATAATGCAAATGTAGACTTTTAAAAAGTAGCATTGTGTGCCAAGCCAACACATTTTCTACCTTTTTAGTGTACCTTATTCTGACCAAGTCTCTGTCTCTGTGTTTGCAGACGGCCCTCTGAATGTGATGATCTCTGGTCCAGATAAAGCAAAGGTTGGCAGCTCTGTGTCGTTGACATGCTCCGCTGAAACTCAGCCGGATTGTGACTTCCTCTGGTTCTTTAACAATCCGTTATTACCGAATGTAGAGGCCGGTCCTGTTATCACTTTCTCTGTGACGAAGGAGAATGAGGGAATCTACGTATGCAAGGCGAGGAATCCTGTGACCAATATCGAAATGTTCCAGTACAAAACCTTCATGGTCATTGGTGAGTGATATGATGAGCATATGAGCACTTGTTGACTTTATATGGTATGACATCCATCATTTTGCTATTAAAGGTAGGGTAGGTAATTCACTTCAGAAACACTTTTTGTTATATTCCATGGAATGCTTTTAACATCCCGATATTAATGAATAAATGAAATGCTTTGACAATAAATATATACAAATATTTCCTCTGTGGAAGCCGTGGCGCTGTAAAAAGCAAGTCCAATTATCTGCCTCGTCCCGCGGCAGATAACTGGATGGCCTACCTGCCTGTCAGCCTTCCATCTCGTGCACAAACTTATCTCGTGCCCTCATTGGTCATGTGCGCGTTCGTGTGTGTTGGAGGAGGGGCTCTGTAAGAAGTCTGAAGGAAAGGGCAGATTTTTTTCGGTTGTTTACTTTCAAATTCTAACTTACTCGAGCTGGTTTCTCCATTCTTACCTACCCTACCTTTAATGACTTCAGAATATGTGCTTTACAATTACAGATACCTCCCGTTTTACTAAATGCAACATGTGATTTATTTGTTGTTGTTTCCGTCCCTTTCTCCCTCTAAGGTCACGCCTCTGCCCTCCACTTCCATTCCCGAGGCGTTCTGATGTTGATGGGTGTGTTTGCTTTATCTTTCCCTGTGCTGTTCAACTGAGTCCTTCACATTTTGTCCAATTGCTCCCTCTACAGTCTTAACACTAACAGTCATATTATAAAATGTATGGAAAGGTCCTACATAGTCAATTATATGATTTGAATGTTATCAGTTCTTGCGTTTCTTGTTGTTTTGAAAGGCAAAGATGATTTGGAAAGCGTGACTGACTTTAAATTAAGTTACATTTTGTTGTTGGATATTTATTTGTATTAGATTTGTATTTGTTAACGTGCAATACATTAACACAGACATTTAAAGGGGAAATCATTTTAATACTGTTTAGGGTTTTATGTCAAATGTATCATTGTTAGTAGGTAAAGGTGGTGTGTTATTGTTACTGGTCTTTATTATAATTCAATAGTTTAACAATTCCTCTAATATACCTGCATTCTTCACTTTGAACACCTGCAGCTTTTATTGTTTAGTATACAAACTGTAAGTAAATATAAATCTAATCATGCTTTAATTCATAGAATGTTTTTCCTAATCAATAAATAATCAACACAATCAAAATCAATTTAGTTGGGACTTTATTGAGGAGGATACATTGTCTCTGTGCTTATTCAGAAAGATATAGTCATGCAAACATTGTCAAAAAGCTACAGCTGTTTTTTTTAATCAAATACAATAGAGAGAAATATGCATGTTAGCGATAAATGTATACATTTTAATTCAGTATTAGGTATTTATAGTACTTCTTTGTTGTTGTTCATATTGGGACACTGGGACCCAAGTTCCTGGTGTTCCCGCCCTTCCTCGGTTTGGAAAACTGTCTGCACGTCCTCAGATTCTTGTTTTTCTTCTTCTGGCAAAATATTTTCCCTTGTGGTTTGAAAGAATCCAGACAGATAATTAAAAAAAAACAGATAATGTCACTAGTAAATCTCTAATCAACCCTTTTGAAGAGTCCCTAATCACCTTTCCATACGAGCCAGTGGAATATACTGAATACAAGACTGATATCACTTATTGTTGTACTTTGTTTTTTAATAAATCTCTAAAACTATAACTCACATTTTCCATTCCTGCCGTTGCGTCCGCCAGACTGCTGACAAAGGCAGCGGGATTTCATCTCTCTTCCTTTTCCTGGGTGCCCCAAATACAGAAAGAGAACAATGGGTTAGGATGAAATGCACTCCACTAAGGCTGTGTTTACATTTAAACCGCTAAATTGTATCACCAAATATTGCTTTTACCTTTACAGTAACAAGCTCTGTTGCGCTGTCTTGGGATGTCGATTGGATTTGCAGTAGTCAGTAGTTCTCCAAAAATAGAGGCTACGATACCATTGATAAAGAAATACAGATCATTAATGAACATGAATGAAATAAAGTAATGCAGATACAACAATTCAATACATATAAATGGACAACTTGTGGAAAATGTGTTTTAAACATCAAAATCACATACCATCTGAGAATTTGCTGACATCCAAGGATTTCTCATGTGTCTCAGGAATACCTTTGAAAATCACAGAATAAAATGCAGAGGATATAAACATACTTTAAAATGAATTTAATAGTATAATACTGAAAAAAGTATACACTACCTTGGCTGTGATCAGTAAATAGGAGCAGGGTGAGAGCCAACAACAAGAACAGTCTTGGTCCCATATTGTAGTTTAGCAAGTCCAATACAATGAGTCCACTAACTTCAGTCCCAGTGAGGGAATACAAGGGATGTTGTTTGTCTCGTGTCTTTATAAAGGCTGGTGTTCAGTTCTGAAATTATAGCCGTGGCACATTCATCGCCTGCCAGGTATTTGAAGCTTGACACTTGCCCTACCAGCACCTTTCACAGTGAGTGACTGTGAAAGACAGGAAACATGCACCTTTGCCCAAAAAATCTGTTTGTGGTTTTGAGTCATGGCTCATTGTCGTGAGAAAGAGAAAGACCTGCATGATACTGATATCCACTGAAAGAAAACTTACTGGGTCTTCTTATTACATGATCTTACCAAAAAATAGCCAAGAGGCAACCCTTTTTTTTTTATCCCTGGTAAAGCCTTGATGGGGGAACATAATAGACATTTTTGAAACTGTTACTGTGAATTAGTAGCATGTGCAAAACTAAAATCTCAAAAAGGATGTTCTTCCTACTTGGTTGGTGGTTTGCACATATTGTCATTTTTTAATTCCTGGATAAGGCTTTTCATGCTGTACAAACTTTTTTAATCATCCATCAAAAATGATGGGTGATGTTATCAGCCTTGTCGACAAAACTGCAATGGGGCACCACTAACTGTCACATGGTAGATCATGCGTGCCATAATCCAGGCAAGGTATGTGGTCTGGTATTGTGTGATTAATGTTGGATGAAATGTTTGGGCAAAACGAGACTTGTTCACCAGTCTTAAATTACTGAAGTGTAGCTCTCTGCTCATAACAATGTTTAAGACTGGAAAAAAACAAGTAAAAAAACAAAAAACATAAATCCCCTTTGGCCATCTATGTACTCACAATGACCCTGCTAGTTAGTGAGTTAGAAAAGAGGATATATTACTCTTCTTCAGGTTCATATTTGTATTTTGAGCCTCTACTGTGACATGTCTCCATGCTTTAATGTTCAAAAAGCTCTTTATTTTTCTCATACTACCTCTTTTCACCCTCTGTCTGAAACCAGAGCCCAGTCTGCTCTGATTGGTTAGCTGCCGGTCAGCTTAGAGATATCTCGCGCCTTAACCTATCATGTACAATGTGTTGGAGCGCTAGCCAATGGACGCACGCGTGTTACATATTGATGTCATTATGTTTTAAACAAAGGAGTCAAATGGCGGCGTTTCAGGCAGGTGGGAGGAGTGTGTGGGGGAGAAACTCTCTCAGGAGGGATCTTTGGGAATTTAGACTTTGCAGACCATTTACATGCACAAAAACCTATAACAAGCTAAAGTGAAGGGAAAACCCCAAACAGCATAATAGGGCCTCTGCACTACATTAGTTTCAATACATGAATGTATCCTACTCAGTATCAGCAACCAGATTTAATTAATGAGTCAAAGGACACTAAAACAATTTTTCATATTTAATGCATTCTTTCATCACTTACAGTCAGAAATCCTGAAGCATAATTTCAAGGTCTGTAGCACAACCCTCATATAAGAGGCTCAGAAGCGTTTTAGTGTAAAGCCTTTTTAAATGATCTGATTGATCATAATGTCGCAGTTGAGGTTACACTTGAAGCACAAGCAATTTTTAGATATATGTATACAACTTCACAACCTACTTAAATACATTTATGTTTGAAACAAGACACAGCCTCTCATCGCAAAATATGTTAATGTTACAATAGGTGAAGCAAAAAAGGTGCAAAGACAATAATGAGACAAGTCACATGGTAAAAGGCAAGTAAACATAGTTATAGTCAATGAAAAAACATTTGGTCATTCAAATGAACATATACAAAAGACACCAGACATCACCATGGAGTAAATAAAGCTATTGGCAAATGAATGTAACTCATGGAACCGAAATGGCAAATTACAGCAGTTTTCTGGTAAGGGCAGTATTGTATCTCATTTTTTTTTAACCAGACATATACTGGCAACCCGTTTCAATTAGTTCCTGTTCCAGTAGCCTCAGATGGGCAATGCATTTTATCATTGTTTATTTTTTCAGAAAATGTTATATCCGTCCATATTCTAACGTAAATTAGGCCTTGTATGTCTCTAGAGAGTTTTAAGTGAAAACTGGAGAACCCAGTTATAAAGCTTTAAATAAGGAACAGCAACTAATGTTTTGACCTATCTTCATTGGAGTAAAAGTTGCTGCGTCTTTTTAAAAGTTTCATTTCAACCAATAGACATCTGGATGTATTTATCCATAACGCTGTCTTCCAGCATTCAGATTTCCTTTCACTGTCTGGCTCTGATCGTATTCACTCATATTTACCATGTGTCAGAGGAATGTGAATATTCTACTATGAGAAAAAACTTTGACAATCAAAAGCTAGTGGATCAGATGTTTAACGGGAGTAAAGGCAAGACTTTGTTTCTTTACAGCACAGCATGTTACATTTCTGACTGTATCATTACCACAACAAAAACTCTATGGTCCCATAATCTGTAACAGTGGTCATCAACCACCATGGAGAGGACTTAATGTGTTAATAATGTGTACAGCTCTTAGGCCCAAATAATTAATTATATTGATCATTGATGGTGTTAATAAGCGGAGTGCTGTTCTCTGGAAACAGGGATGAGGACCACCTTCTGTGACTTTGTGCCCTGGCTGCTCAGTTCTCAGCAGGCTTCTCTAGCATGGTCTTCAGATGGGCATGCAGGGGGTCGCACACAGCCTGGAAGCCCTGGGGGGTCAGGTGAAGGTAATCATACATGTCCTGATGGGAGATGCTGCCGTTGGAGTGGACGAAGCCTGGGTCCACGTTGAGGAAAGAGGCGTGGGGGAGGGAGGTCACGGCCTCTTGCACCAGCTGGTTCACAGCGGCGTTTCGCTCCCGGCGAAGGTTTGGCGATTTACCTCTAGGCAGTAAACCCTGGAAAACAAATGTATGTTGCTTTAAAGGTGGGGTAGGTAATTTTGGAGAAACCAGCTCGAGTGCGCTAGAATTTGAAAATACACAACCGGAAAAAATCTGCCACTTCCTTACAGAGCCCCTCCTCCAACACACACGAACGCGCACATGACCAATGAGGGCACGAGATAAATTTGTGCACAGATGGAAGTCTGACAGGCAGGTAGGCCATCCAGTTATTTTAGCCAGGCCGGCTAAAATGATTGGTCGTGCTTTTTACAGTACTACGGCTTCCACAGATGACATTTTTTAATGGATCTTTTGTCAAAGCACTTAAGATATTCATTGCTATCGAGATGTTAAGAGCATTCCATGGAATATAACAAAAAGTGTATCTCGAGCCGGTTTCTCAAACTTACCTACCCCACCTTTAAATGTTGGACACTTCTATTCCAACAACACGGACTATAACACCTCTTGTTGTTAAATACCAACTATGTGCAATATGTGCAATATATATATATGCTGTTAAAAACTGTGCAATATATACCTGGCTGCTAAATCCTCAGAACTGTTACAGGATGTGTATTTTGTAAGATGTGTAACTCTTTTTATTATAATTATTTGTATCTTTAATACTTTTTTATGCATGCTTTAGGTAACATTAAGCTGTCTTTGGCTCTTTTCTGCTGTAACAATTTTAATTTCCCCTCTGTGGGACTAATAAAGGTATTCTGATTCTGATTCTGGTTCTAGTAACATTCCTAGAAATACATGCATCAATGTAAAAAAGCATTTCACATCTAAGGTTTGTTTCCCAAAAATAAAATTAGGCTTTATCAGTCAACAGTTTCTCACCCATGTCAGAAGGTTTGTCATAATAGTCTGTAGCCAAACATACAGTAGGTAGCACATGTTGTTGCATCTCAGCCTTCCCCCAAACAAGTATTTTAAATAAAGTGTGAAAAGTAGCGCATCTCCAAACAGTTCACACAGAGTCGATTAGTCTTTTTTTCTAAATTACATAGGGTTGAAATGCAACTTAAAGTGTTAAACTGTGCAGTCTAATGGTAGCATGAACCTTATTTGTCATTTTTAACGGACATGCAGCTGTAGGAATGCATTAAAAAAAAAACCTACGAGTACTACAGTGCGGGAATTGGGGAGCTTGTTCTTGATGACTTGGACAATAGCCATGATGCCTCCACAGATCTGTTCAGGAGTATGGGCATAATTGAAAGTGCCCACCCACAGCACTACAACCTACACAAACAGAAGAGAAAGACACGTTGAAATGAGCACATATCCTCCATAATAGTTTAGGGTCAATATACCTGGAGATGGGATTTACGCACACAAATAAAGCACAATGGTTCTACTGTGTGAATAAACAAGTACAATCATGTTCTCTATTTTTGGCAGGGATATAGACCTTTGGGCTGATGTTATCCAGCTCGCCGTTGCTCAGTCTCCACAGCACATGTTGTGTTGCATCACCACCCACCCCAAAATTGAGGGCATGGAGAGGAGAGAACAGCTGCCTCCATATCTACAGACAAAGCACAACAAGAAAGCTTCAACTTTGACTGTTTGAAAGTATAGAACAAGAAAGACAAGCTATCAAACTACCAGGACACAGACACAGGAAAGGGTGTGACTTACCCCAAACTGGTGCAGGAGCTGAATTAGAGAGTCTCCAACAAACAGGACATCAGGTTCTTTGTCTTTGCTGTCAGAAACAAAGCGGTTGTGCTACAAAGAGAAAAAGAGAAAGTAAACATATATACAAACTATGAAATTATTATTTTTAAAAGTGTTTTGATGTATAGTAAATGCACACAAATGGTTAAAAAAATTCTAAATATATTTTGATATTTAAAAATGGGAAGACATTAGCTTGAATTAGCATGGACTGCAGATGGAAATTAGCTTTTGCCTATAATCTCATACATAGCATCTCTTCTCTTTTAGAGATGGTCCTTGCTCAATCGTGATATATAATACAAAAAGAATAATACTAGTGCACATTTCTATGACAATCTAAGGGGAAAACTGCTTAATTACAGAAGCATATATCAGCATTGTTGTTCTTGTGTTAAATGACCTACAAAACAATGACTATAAGTACTTTACAGTAATTCCTAAAGAGTAAACATTAGCAACAATACAAGACTGGGGAAACCAGGCAGTTCATGGTTGTATTAATGCTTTAGCTATGTTAAATACATGGAATAAGTAACAAAAAAGTCATAATAATCACATCATTTCACACACCAAAGACATCCATCGTGCATCTCCCTCGATGTCCTCACGGAGAGTGGGTGTGGCGGCTGGGTTTGAGTCTTCTGCACTCATGACTCTATCTGTGTAAGCTAGCAGTCACGTAGTGTTTTTGGTACGGAAAACTAATCGATTAATCAAACGTCTGCAGCTATAATTGCTAAATCTAAGGAGGTTGGAAGAATTAGCAAAGGTAGCTAGCCTACTTGCTGAAAGACAAGATAGATGTGGTTTAACAGAGAGATACTGGTCACAGCAACACAGATTGTTGTCAACCTTATGCAAACCTATACGGTGCGAAAGGGAAAAGGCAGAGCTTTATATTAAGGCTACATTTAAAGATATTACTGAACATAGGCTACCATGAAATCAAAAAACCGTCATCTCCCAATTCAGATTCAGGAAGTAAATGTTCACTATAGTCGCCAGTACCATTGTTGTCCATGGGCAACAACATGTGTATTTTTATGTTTTTTGATAATTGTTTGACACCTTTTTAATACTATATGTTTTGCGTTCAATTTAAGATCATACTTTATGAAGAAATGGACAATTCTAAAGTGTAAACGTTAGTAGGAATATAAAAGATAATACGGGTTCACCCCCTCGTCTTGGAAAATGAACTCACCCTGCTCGATGGTGCTCGTGAGAGTTGCTGCTGCGCAGAGAAACAGCTACGACATGTTGCCGAGCAACGACAAATTTACAAGAGGAAGAAAAAGACTAACAGTAAGTTGCGCTTTACATTATCGATTTAAAGTTTGTATAAAAATGTTTCTAGGAGGATTTTTAGTATGTATAAGATGGAATGGGCTCAGTGTTAAGGTTAGTTATTGTGTTTTTCAGCAGATAAAGCCAAATACTTAAAATCCATACACGTGTGATTATAGTTAGAGTGCAGCTGGTGGTTGATGTTACTCTCACCTGTTCGCTAACCACCTAGCTTACTAGCATAGCTATCAGGCTAAATCCAAATAACAGGTGTTTGGGATTTGGAACCACAGGGGGCGCAGTTGCATATTGAAACGTGTAATTAATGTAATCTGTTTATTCATTTAGCAAGCACTGTTATAGCGCAAATGCATATCATGTTGGATTATTTTTGGAACAGTCTTCAACGTTAAAACCCTTTTGACAAAAAAAAAGTGCGCACGAAGCAGTTGGAAGTAGTTGCTTCGAGGTTATTTGCAACATAAATGTAAGAGTATAGTATGGCATTGGCTTGTTCATATACATATATTTACAGTCATACTCAATCCCCCGTGACTTTGGTCAACCAACAGCTTTCCCAGTTATTATCAATTAAAAGTTGATCTAAATACCATCACCAGCTAAACGCTACATGTGCACTGTTGCCACCCCCTGTACTCTTCAACTGGAAAACTACGACATGATAATGTGTTAATGTTTGCAAAGTACGGCTGACTTGGTTTGAACTACAAATACTCTATTTTGCTATATGGATATTATCAGAGAGCACAAACTGCCTGTAGTAGACATCAACTAAGTGTAGCATTTGCCATTATGCTGTTGCCATGGTGCTTTTGTTACATTGCTAATTTTGAATGGCTAATTTTGTTTTAGTTGCAGGTGAATTTGGGACATATTGAACTTCTTTGCTAAGAAAATACTGTGAATGGAGCATTTTAGCATACCATACTTTTGCCTTGGCTCAATATTGTTTAATTTAGTGATGTTTTATTTGTAATTGGCTTAAAAATTACATCATTTACAGTACAGTTTTCGAGTGAAATAGGGGGGAAAAAGGCCGCCTTCAATATTAGGATCCTCATTCGAAGGTTTTATGTGAATATTTAGATATAATGATCATGTAAAGAGTGTTTCACTGTACATGTCAACTAGTGTCTGTCTCTGTTAAACTATCCACAGCGGAGACTCATATCTTGCAGACATGTCATACAGTAAAGTGTTAAGAAAATACATTTGGCATGCTTTTTCAGTATGGATAATGTGCAGGCCACAGTCCAGAGGGTCAACATTTTGATTTAGCCAGCAACTGTCATTGAAAAATAAGTAATTTGCTTTATGAGAGTTGGCATCACTGAGATGCAACAACATCCTGCGGAGGTGACCTGGCTCTCTTATCTCGGTTTTTACAGTCTTACAAATTACTCATTGTGCTTATCTTTCTGCAGAAACTGGTGCAGCATGAGCCACCTGTGCGGCATGGCTTCATCGGACAAAGAAAAGATTTTAAATGTTTTCAACAATCAACTAAAATCAGCAGATAAAAACCCTCGCTCAGTGAACAGATTCACTGCAGACTGCAACTGTTCAAATCATAGTAAAACAGATGAGCAGAACAAAATGAAAAGACGTAGGAGCCGCAAGGACAGGAGTCAGATGAGAGGTGGTGGGAAAGAAGTCCTAGCGTACAAATCACATCATCATCAATGCCGCCGCCAAATCAGTAGCGACATGGCGGCACATTTCGAGAACGGCTGTCATAGTAGCTGTCACTGTCCTTCAAGGAGAGCGGCATCTTTTCCAACCATCACTCCTGCTGCACAGGAGCCCAGCATAATAACGGACAGTCGCCTGATAGGACACCAAGGCCTGTTCAACCATGAGGTGAAGTCTATCGACATTGAACGCTTGTTAAGTGAGCAGAGGAAACTGAAGAAAAGTGGACAGCAAGTACATGAAAACAAAAATGCTACTTCACTAACCTTTTCAACATCCCAAATCCCTTCTCCATCCTCCATTAATGATTTATTGGTTGCTGATAATGATGAATATCTGCCATTGGAAAAACAAACAGGCCATGATGATTGTGTGAAGAAATATAACCAAATCAGTCAGGGATCAGAAATAACACCCGGGCAGAGAGCGCAGCCACAACTTGAGCTTTCTTTGGAAAGTGTTAAAAGCATCTCCTCATCGAAAAACAGCTCCAGCGATGTCGTGATAGTCAAGAGCAATAAGATGAACCCTGACGTGTCTGATGAGGGCAAAGAGTCTCAGCTGACTCCCACTGCTATGAAAACATTAAACAGGAAGGTAAAAGGACACATGATTTCTGCTCTGGACCACACCCCAATGAACAGGGACTCTCCTGTCCATCACACACAGGCTCATGGTGTCAGCCCGAGCCCCCTTCAGCTGTCCAGCTCCCCCACTGCTGACATCTCTGACATAAAGCCCAGAAGACCAGATCCTGACAGTGTGTCTCAGTCTGTCGGTGCCATGGCAGCACGTTTGACTGACTCTCTGAGGTTCCCACTGCTGAGGAGGAGAAACCTGGTTGCAGAGAGCAGGGAGGTCCTGCTGAGAGCTCTACGGGACAACCACGGATCGCAGCTTCAGGAAAACCTCCATGAGGTGCAGCGATGCCTCAGCTTTGGTGCTGATCCCTCAAAGAAAGTCCAGCCTCAGGAGTCGACCATGATGGAAGAGCTTCTACCTCCAGGTAGGCTCTCAAATTCGAGACGCTTCTGACCAAATGAAATGTGATGGTTTTTTAAACGTTATGGTTGATTTGAAGTGATACATCATTCTGACTATATGTCTCATCATCTTTCTGTATCATTACGCCACTGTTATATTCAGATATGGTGGTTCACAATCTAATCTACAAAAATGAGCAACATGTACATTTTAGGCATTTATTCATGTTCACATGGTATCATGTGATTTTGACTTATTTTAGTATAGGTATCAATAACATCTGTATTCTCAATATTGATTGTACTGTGCATATTAACCATCTTTAAAACAAAAATCTATGTTTTTATTAAATGTTCACTTTATCAAATGAGTTTAAATAACACTGCATTCTTTATGCCTTCAAAATGCATTAAATGCATTGATTTCATTATGAAACCGTTGCAAAGCTAACTAAAAACATGAATTGTTTAAATCTACAGTATATTTTCTTATTTTCAGTCTTCTTTTTTATTGACTTTGTTGCAACATCACAGGCCACAGATATTATCACCGCCTACTGTTAATCATTCAGAACAGGAATGTGATTGTGTTGTCCTGCATGCTCTGCATCTTTTAACAGTTACTGTCTTACCTTTATGGATAGTGTTTCCTTGCTCAGATTTAGTGGAGGAAAAGTTACAAAAAGAGTGCATTTTGTACAAAGAATAGAAGAAGCTTTATATTACCTTGACATTAACTAACATTAATGCACAGAATGAGACTATGGATTTTTCACCCATTAATTACATTAAAAGCACATTTAGGTTGGTGGGATTTCTTAATGGCCAGTATGAAAACAGTATGAATACAGCAGTGAAAACATGGTTGAATGTTCATATGTAAACTGGTATTCTTCTTGAACTGAATGAGAACTGAATGTATTCACAATAAACATTAGCACATTTCTTGTATTATGAAAGCAGTGGTAAGCACTGTTCGCATTATAGTTTGTGGGCAGGTTTTCAGTTTTGTCTCTTCCTTTTTAGATGTGTTCAAAGCAGCGTTTCAAGCCGAAACTGCTTATCAGCCATGTTTTGACGCCCAGAAAACCACACCTTTCAGAACGACTGGAAGTAGACATTTTAGCTGGAAATCCAGGCCACAACCAAACCGAAACATGGAACAGGTAAGACCTTAACTTCACTTCCTTAATTTAGTTCATTTAACATATGGTCAACTGTTATCCCTTATTTTGTCCTTTTAATTTATATTACTCTGGAATAAAATGCTTTCTGATTTGTATGTAAAGACCGCTGATTGGTTGACAAGCCCTGTGGAGACTTCTGTCAGCATTTTTGATGACATCACCAGACCTTCTTGCGCTCCTCAGTTCTGCATGGACTTTGAGCCCTCTGGAGGTACAGCCAGCAGTCATTTGTTCTCTCCACCCTCATGCTGGGGACAAAAGGCCTCACAGTCTGAGCCGTGGGAAGACCGCTTCAACAGAAACAGGAGCAATAAAGATTTTACTTTTGATTCCTTTGAAAACACCTTCAAAGACAACACCAGAGCAGAGAGGAGCAGCACCGTCCAGCCTTTCTTCCCTTATCAAACTCAGCTGCCAGATCGACGTCCTGCTGAGCTAATGCATTTCCCAGACCCATTTGAATCTGACAGATATTCATTTGCTCCCTCCTTCTCCACCCAAACTCACCATCCTCAAGAGAGTTTCCATCCCTACAGCCAATCCAGTCATCCTTCTACTGGCCCTCCCCTCAGGTCCCACCACACTGACATGAAACATTACCCTCCATCTCACATGATAGACAAAGACCCATCAGCCCCCCTCTCTTCTTTCCCGAGCCCTGAGCAGTGGACCTTCCCTCCAATGAGACTGTACTAATATAGAGTGAAGCTCTGCATGGATACAAGCCTGTGAACATTTCTTTGACAAACTTAAAATGCTCTCAATTCAAACCATCAAGATTTTTTGTTGAGAGCGAAAAATATGTTGCGTGTGCTCGTATTATTTTTAATTAAAAACACAGTATTAAATGTAATAGCAGTAGCTACCATCACAAGAGTTATCTCTTCTATTCTTTTGTCCCATTTATGCTGAGATAAACAAATGCACAATAATGTATTGTTTGTATTTTAGGAACATTTGTTAATGTGCAGAGCTGTATACATATCATCTTTAACACTGGTGTTATAACGGGAAATTCTTATAGAAGAAGCTTTGCCAGATGTGCTATTGTGAAAGCATTTTGATATATTTTGTGTGAGCTACATTTAAATGCAATAAAACACATTATCACAATTGTGTAATACAACGAAATAATCATTTTAATTTAGATGAGCACATTCAATTAAATGACACTTCTGATTAATGCTTGTATGGATTAAAAGTTTACAGTACAATGGATCACACTTCACATTTCCACCATATTTTTATGTTCCTCTCCAAACAGCAGAACATGTTATTATTCATTGAACATACTGAAAGGTTTGTCTCAACAGTCACAAATGAAAATGTTCAAGTATTTTCAAGTAAGCAAGTAATATTTTTCATCTGATGTGTGAGTGTCAACATTTCCAGGTTCCTCTTCTTCATGAACTTCATTGTTAATCTCCTCTGCTTCTTGTCCGCTCCCGGATCTTATTGCCCTCCGTAGCTGATTCCAAAACAGCGCTTGGGCCTGCGTCGGGTCAGTGCAGTCTGAGCTAGGCCACTGCAGATAAGTCTTTTTCAACATGACTTTCCTCATGCGGTGATAGCACGACACCTGCCTCTCGGAGATTTGCTCCAGAAACACAAGCAGGAGGACGTCCCGGTGCTCATCGAAGAGGCGGTAGCTGGCCAGTTGGATTTCCAGAGAACACCACTCACTCTTGAGGAAATTCCTGCTCACCACACAGATAGTTTTGCGGCTGCTATATACAGCAGAGACGATGTTGTCCACAATATTGCGGCCTAGCTCAAAGTCCCTGTGATGTAGACAAAGTTTAAAAGACGATCCATTGCCCTCCAGGTTCGGAATTAACTGGTCCATGACCCATTGTTCATCAGAGGAGTTATAGGAAATAAATGCGTCATATTTGCAATTTTCCTCTTTCTCTCTGAGTCTGCGCCACTGCTCACCAAACCAAGAAATGAACACATAGTAGCCATACTTCATTTTCCAGTACAGTTTGACATAAAGTAAAGGAGTTACTGTGAACAGGAAGATCACAACTGCTGTGCTAAGGAAGAAGTACTCTTCCAAATCTATGTAACAAACTTTGGTGTCAAAGTTGTGGAATCTGCTTTTTGCATGGTTTGGGCACGGAAGATTGTAGAGATAGACCACCTGGGTATTTTGGTTGTGCACTGTCCAGTTTTGCAGCAAGCTGTTTCCACAGGTGCAGCTTAGAGGAATACTCCGTATGTCGAGGTAGTCAAGTTTAGGTAAACTTTCTAGTGCGTCCACACGAATACTCTGCATTACATTGCGGTTGAGCTGCAGTATGTGCAACTTTGTGAGATTCCCAAAAACCTCTTTTGTGAAGTTCTGAATACCCATATTTTCAACAATCAATCGGGTCAAATTTCTTAGATTTTTGAAGATTCCTGGCTGTAGTTGTGTCACCCCAACACAGCAGTTATCTAACGTGAGGAAACTTAAGCCTGTCAGATCATCAAAGGCATCAGGAGGAAGATAGAAGATGTTATTGTTCGTTAGATACAGAGATTTCAGGGAGTGGAGGCCACGGAATAATTGTTGGGGTAAAACTGTGAGGCCATGCGGTCGCTGCCCGTCCAGTTTCAGATCCTTCAGTTTGCTGAGGTTCATAAATGGTGAACGGTCCGTTTCCTTGAGGAAGCGAAACCGATTACTCTGTAAATCCAGAACAGTTAGCGTGTCTTGAAATACACGATGGAGGGAAGTTTCAATCGTTTGGAGGTTGTTTCCATCGAGATAGAATTTGGACAGATTTTGTAGTCCATCAAGGCCAGATGCCGCTTGATATGACTAATCTTATTTCCTCCTAGGTCCAGTGTGTAAAGATTCTTTAAACTGTGGAAGGTCCCATTAAAAATGACAGAGATACGATTGTTGCGTAGGTTGAGGATTTTCAGGTTGAAAGTATCTTCAAAGGTGTCGTGGAACAAATCAGTTAAGAGGTTATTATCCAGACGGAGTGTCTCCAGCTTTTTTAACCCCATGAGAGCTTTATGATCAAGATAAGCTATTGTGTTTATGTTGAGCTCTAGTGTCTTGATATTTGGTGTTCGATAGAAAGCATAAGAGCGGACCGATAGGATGCGGTTGTAGCGATAGCTCAGATCTTCTAGATTGGTTAAATTACCCATGTGTGGTGGTTTACAAGACTTCAGGTAGGTGAGACCGTTGTGTTCTAAATTGACGCTTTTTAGCATTGTCTGTCTATCGAGAAAGTTAAGACAACTTATGCTTTTCAGGTTATTGTGGGAAAGATCCAAAGCCTGTGTGATGTTAGGACATTGGTTAAGAATGTTTTTTGGCAGATTCACAATCTTGTTACTACCCAGGCTTAACATTTTTATCGATTTCACATTTCTTTCCTTTAACAATATGCATAATCGCTCCGTGTCATTTTCAAGGCCCATGTCAGAAAAATCAACATGACCTGCATTGATATTGCTGATGTTTAAAAACTCCATGACCTTGACACTTGTTGAACGCATACGCAGGTAGTTTACACGCCTTAAATCCACTCCTTCAAAAGCGATCGTAGGCAGCCAATGATTGTAAGACAAATCCAGCACCTTGATGTTCTCGAGAAACGATTGATTACATCCTAATGTAGACAGATTATTTCTAGACAAATATAATGTAGTGAGGGATTTGGGTAGCGACACATTTGAGTGGCTGAGAGAGGTCAAATTGTTGAAGCAAATATCTATTTTTGTCAGATTTACTAAATGTGACACAGACTCAGCAACCTCTGAAAAGTTTTTCAGATGGTTTTGGCTCATGTTTAAAGTTTCCAGTTTGAGAAGAGTGGAGAAAATGCCTCCGGGGAGCCGCTTTAATGTATTGTTTGTCAGCGAGAGAAAGGTGAGGTTGTGCAGGTCCTTAAACACAGCAGGGTTAAGCACTGATATTTGGTTAAAGGACAAGTTCAGAGACGTGAGATGAAGCAGGTTCTCGAAAGCAGATTGACCGATGGTCCTTATGTTATTATGATCTAGTCGGAGTTGCTCAAGTTTTTGGAGATGACCAAAGCTGTTGTTGGGAATGTCCCCCAGATCATTATTTGAGATGGTGAGATTGATGGTAGATGACGGCAGGTCTTTTGTAATATTTGTAATCTTCGTCTCCTTCCGATTGATACATTGAAAGGTTCCTTTCGAGTAGGGTTTTTCAATGCAGTTGCTGTAGCTGTAACCACTGGCCATTTGAACTGCACCAAGAACAAATGCAACGGAAAACAGCCAATAAATTAGACTCGCCATTTTGCCTGTCCAGAGAAACTTTGTCCTTTAAATTATTTGGGCAGTCTCTTTGTTGGTTTGGTTTGCTCCTATAATATGTTGAACATGTCTGTAGAGGGCCTCATGTTCATCAACTGAAGGTGGTACAGGAATCTGAGGAAAGAAAAGATGGATTTAGATTACTTTAAATGTGTATTTTCATTCTTTAATCATAAATTCAACTCGGCCACATTTTAAAACCAGAAGAAAGTGACACTAGCAGTAACCCCTTTACGCTCACTAAATCTGCCTACTTCTCTGACTTTAAATGTCAGTGTTGACAGAGAAGCTTTGAAAAATGGCGAGTAAAATGTTAGAAAAAGAGCATTTCGTTAGTGACAGTTTTGAGAAGACTTATGAAAGAATATAATAATGCTTAGGTTTTTGTAAAGCATTCTCCTAGAGATCAGAGAGAAACTACTGATCAAGGCATTGCATTGGATTTTATTTCACAAGTTTAAAACTACAACTGGTGCCACTGCCAACAGTTTTCCTGCATAAGCAGACGGTTAATGATAAAAAAAGAAATGCTCCAAGAAGACAAGACAAATGGAGACGGAGAGTGGCCTGGAGTTCAGTATGTGAGTGCTGCTGAAGCAAGGCTCATGGAGTAAAGGACAGCTGCCGAGCGAAGGGAAATAAGTGCAAGGAAATGCAACAACTGGAACAACGGCAACGCTGTAGGTGTGTCAAGGTATGAAGAGCACACAGTCAGTGAAATGGGTCATTGTAATCACCATTTATTAAACCTCAGTGTTTATTTTCATAGTTAAGACAAGTTCCTCTACATTTAAAAAAAAAAAAACTGTACAAGAAAACATGAGAAAAGGAGGTATGATAAAGAAATGAATACTAAAGAATAAATAACTATGTACTGTATATACAACGTACAGGATAATACAGAGATATGTGTGAAATGTGTATGCAGACATTGGGTGAATGTCTGTGAATATGCAGAGTTAAGTAAGTATATGAGATGTATGCATCTATACAACCAACCTGCATGATTACATATTGTATAGCAGATACAATTACTAACCAGAAATTGATTAAAAGAGTACACAGTTATTCATACTTATAATTCTGCTCTCGAAGTGCACTACAGTCATGCAATTTATAATGTATACATTTTCCTTTAGGGGCCTCTGGACTACAGTAGAGGGTCAAAGTCATGGTTAACATCCTGTGGGAAACACTGAGATCCCCTCCAGGAAGTCACTGTCTGACAAGCCACATCACGTTGCATCACGAGACATCATGGAAACGCAGCTACCGTACAGTATGTAGCAGCTTACTGTCACCTTAAACCCAACCATCACCACAACCAAATGTTTTGTACGACAGTGAAATCGCTTTAAAGAATAATTGGTGTTCAGTCGGCAAATAGCTAAAGAATAATTCTGAACTAAGAGTGAAAGGTTCAGTAAACCGAGAAGAAAATCAAAGATGCCGGAGAACATAGCAGCAATACTGAAACCATCAAGATAAGCTTTTGGAAATATATGACTCCATATTGAAGCGTGAGATAATCATAACTCCTACCTCGTAGCGTGCAGAGATGTAGACCAAAAACAAAAGCATAGAAAAGTGCAAACAGAGAGCCTGTAGCATCCTATGTATGCCTTGGATAAACAAGCATATTGAGTATATGTTTTTTTAAAGTACCTCACCTTTCTCGTTCACAGGCCTCCCAACACTAAAGACCCATAATAAGCCACAAGGTCGAAAACAGGCAACGGCAAACAGTCGTCACTGATCTGTTCAGATGTAGCAATGAAACTGTCTTGTCACATATTTTTAGAAGCAGGTTTTTCAAGCTACACAGCCTCTGCACCCACTCACTGAAAGGCAAGCAGCCTCGGCCAGATCATATACCACAGGCTATTGTGAATCTGATAATCGTACAGGGTTTGAAATATGGGAGTTTACCCACATCACCTCTAGTCGGCACTTTCCCTAAAGCAATGGTCTTGCTGAGAAATCTGCGGTTATTGTGAAATTGGTTACGGTAAAAAGCGAAAGTTGATTAGAGAGATCCCTATCTTGAGTTTTTTAAGTATCGTTTCACTATTTGACAGCTGTAGATCACCGGCCCTGATGCTTAAGAGCCATCGCTTAGACTCGATCCCTCCCAGCACCCCCCAGCAGCTCCATACGACAGTGGGAGCGTCATAGTTGCTAATGCCAGGACAAGCAACCAATAACAGCGTCAGAAAAACGGTCTATCCAAACAAGATCCTCCCTAAGAACACCCAGCCAGCCCATAGCTCACAGATCACTAAACCCACAGCTAAAGGGCACTGACTTCCCCTTCTTGACAAAAGAGTAGCACGCAAGGCTCACACTGAAGAAAGCTTTTTAGAGGTTTTATAATATTCCAGGATGTTTCATCTTTTTAAAACTAAAACTTGGTTCCTCTTTATTTGTGTTCCTCCTTCTTTCTCCTGGCATTTCTTTTGTCTTTGTTACATTCCACTCTTAATACGATGACAATCGTGCCATCAAATGGTGCAAATGTTGAAACAGCAAATAATTTGTCTTTTTGCTACAGAAATGTGCTAAATACGATTAAAATGACATTTACAGCAGTGACAATCCTTGTGTGAGTAACGTCAGCAATAGCAAGTAATCCAGTTACATTTATTTTGTTAGACATCCTCCCATTATGTGTCCTTCATTACACTTTAAAGAAGGTATGTTTAGTCTAAAAGAAATTCAAAAATTGCAAGAATATAATAAAGACATCCTGTGGGAAGTCTGTTGTTATCAGCAGGATTTAGCCAACCGTTGTCTGATCAGAAAGATACTTGCCAGGAGTTTTAAATTACTTTACTAAAGATCATAGCTATAACAATAATTACAAGTATTTCAATAGTTTGACCATGAAAGCCTCACCTGTTTAGATGTCCTGGTTCCCCTCTTCAGAGAGCTTCTTGTGTCGAAGATATCCTAAACACTCACTGAACCAGAAAGAGGAACAACCCTTTCTTTTCTTTCCATATGCAGACACAACATGAAAGTCCCAGGAGGTTTTTATTGAAATACTGTTGCTTGAATGAATGTACACATGCATATAAAACTACATTAGAATAACACAATATTGAACATTGTATGAAAGAAAAGCAGTATTTAGATCATTTCAAGTATAATTTAATTCCAAAATAAATAATGTGTGTAAATTCACAAATGTAAACTTGCTAATTTAGAGTAAAGGAAAAGTCATTGTTCTTTATTTCATTGGCAGTGTATTCCCTGGTGTGTTGCATGAAGAAAATGTCACTATGGTATGTCATTATATTTCAGTGTTCAGTGCAAAAGTTGAGGCCTGATGAAATAATGAGTTTTCTTTTCTTATTTCTTTCATCCATGTGATTTATTTAGCCTGGTCCAAGTCTTTGAATCAGCGCCCATGTTTCTGATTTTTAAACATATATATATATTCAATTGATATTAAAGAATAAGGAAGTAACAAGACAACAATTCACTCTTATCAGGCAATTATTCAGAACTGTTAAACCTTTTTCTAGGTATTTAGGAAATGTCGCACTTTATTAAGGTCATGTCAATGCATTTAAAAGTTGATTTATTTGACAATTTGTCCAAACCAATGTCCTTTTCCATATATTCCACTTCTTTGCAATAAAAAAATTAGGTTTAATGTAAAAAATATATCTATCCTTTCCTCTTCTGCTCTCGAGCCATCTGACACAGTCCACACAGCGGCAGGCAGCCCATGATTAACCAGTCGTTACACACTGAGCCCTGGAAAGAAACAAAAGGACAGTAAACTTCAGACAAACATACATTTTCTCATTAATAAAACAAAAGATTGATTCAGGTCAACGATATATTTTCAACTGACCAGATTTCACAGTCACAGCATAATCTCTGCAGTACAAAATCAGCTGTACTATTGTTTTTTTAGGTTTAAAGCTCCCCTATTATACTGTTTTTCCTCAATATATTATAGGTCTCAGATATACAAAACATGTCTCTGAAGTGGATTTTGCATAATAGGTGACCTTTAATGTGTGCTCAGACAAAACTGAACGCTCTTACCTCGATGTGGTATTTGTCTCGCATGCTGGTCCTCAGAGCAATCATGGCCCCTGGGAGGAAGGGCAGGCAGCAGCTCTCCCCGTGGTCCTGAGCCACCTGGCAGCCAAGGATACAGGGGAGGAACGTGGCACACAGACCTGGAGGTGAGAGACGTGTCATCAATTAGCTATTTATGTTATAGTGTTGTTTAATTTGTTCTTGCTTCTACACACACACAGGTAAACACTTACAGATGCTACAGTCATCACAGCAGTCGCACACGTTTGAACTCCAGTCTACGGACCCGGACGTCACCGTGTACTGAGTGACGGTGACCTGAGGCTGCGAGCTGATCACATTGGACTGGAACGCCATTGCTGTAAGTAGAGAACTATTAGATGTAAAAACAGATTATATTGTTCTAGAATACAGTATCATAACAAAACAAAAAAGAATGTGTAGCCATATCAAATATATTGCTCCATGTCCAGTCCTGTGCCATCAAAGCTTCTTCATTCCAAGCAGAGCCAATTGAAGCCCATCTCACTAATATTGCCAAAGAAGGAAGAATTTACTCAGCAGAATAAGTTACTGAAATTCATTTGAATAAAAATCCTGCTGACTCTTCCATATAGCAGGAATGGAAAACCTTGTTTTTTGAGGAAACACAGCTTCAGATCTAATCTCACCTCCTGAGGTTGGTAGATTGCTCCTGTAAAGGTGGTTTCACAGTGTAGAGGGTCACGGGATAAATCCACTAACAGGAGGGCAGACGCCTGCCTGCGTCTCTTATACCCAGTGTGACATCACGCTTGCACCGGAGCCCAGTTTCAGTGCTGATATAAAATGGCAAACAATGACCATTTGGCCGGTGCACACCTTGTTTTCACAACAGTGTTTGACATTGGGGTGTATCACCTTTCAAAAGGGAGCCACGACCATGACGTGGTCTTTATCAGCGTGCAGTGATTGAAGAACAAAGAAGGCATATAGAGCATATTTGTATTATAGCAAATTATAGACTAGGTTCTACCTTTTAGTGCAAGGTGTGGTGTGTGTACACACTGTGGGCTGAAGTGTGGATGGGAAAATAATAAAAACGAGCACCGGCCTTAAAAGAAGTGTTTGTACTCCTGTGCTTCATTTCATCTTTTAGCTCTGCTACATGTCTAACTTTGTATAGCATGTGGGTCTATAGAACTACACAAAAGCCTCTCACTGTTATACATCCCCTATTTTAACTGTTTGTATAAGTATCCAATTTAAATTCATTTGAGCTATTCAAAATGATAATTCAGTCTGTATGGAGTTACAACTTCCTAAAAGCAAAATGGAAGAAAAGTGTTTATAAAGAATAATAAAACACAACTTAAATTGAAACAACAATACACCTATGCTGGTCACTGTTCATCCTTTCAGTTACCTGGTCCTTTAAACATTTATGAACATATCCGCTAAAAACACACTGTCCTCTTTAACGGCACAAAACACTTCTTTATATTGTTTTATCAATTGATACTTTGTGGAAAAAAATTTACCCGTTGAATGTAGTAATTCTTTTCCATATTGGCCTTGCATTTGGCAACATATTTTTGCTATGGCGTGTTCTGCCATCTCATGAAAAAGATATCGCAGCAGTTAGTCTCTCATCCTCCTGAGAGAATAATCCTATTTTTCTATTCATACCCTAATCCTTACCCACAATTTACCATTTTACATGAATAATGTGGTCAATTTACGCTGACCTTTACAACATAAAATGAAGTAACTTTCCCTTTTATAAACCAAGGCAAGCAAACACTCCTATACAACATAAATCATAGTGCAATTTAAAACATATTACGAGACACGTATTTCCCCCTTTACTGATATGATTTCACCACTACTATTTACGTTTATCAAATGAGCAAAACAGCGCTTTGGGCCTTGTGTGTGGTCAAAGCTGGCATTGCACACTCAATATCAAAATATGCAGAGGAGAGAGGTTTAATGTGCTTTCACTCTCACACTCCCTTTTTATTCTCATTCGACTGCAAAATAGGCAAAAAACAACAACCCTCAAATGCATTGACTTCATAAATCAGAAAATCACAAATACCCTCACCGTAAATCAGTCATTAGTGGAGAGACAAAATAATATATGTGTACACATTTTCAGAGGTTAAACTTTCAGCCTGATATATTGAAGTTAATAAATCAAATACAATGAACAACAGTTTAGTCATTTCTTCATCTGCACAAATAGACTCTTCTCTTGGCAAAGGGTTTTTGTACATGTTATGAAAAGCTCACTTTGTCAGTGCTTGTGCACCTACAGTTCATTTGTGTAATTTGAGTGCCTACCAATCCACAAACAAACAAAAAGACAATCCTGTCCGTTTTTTGTGGGGTGCCTCAGTCAGAAAATAAAAGATTTAACATGCCAGTCAGATTTGGCTTCCCTTCCTATGTCAGCCTAATTTGATTATTTTCTTTGGCTTTTTCTGCTGCTAAAAGTTTTTACTTGCTGTTCTTTGTTACTTAGATTTGTTTTTGTTCTGAGCACAACGACAAATAAAGATCTTTATACAAACCTATAGTACAAACCTCAAACGTAACTTGTTCCACTTCCACAGCTCAACCCATGCAAACTTAAAGTAATTTCTAAAAGACAAATATATTTCATAATCTTATATTCTAGATACAGATCCCCCAGATTTAGATGTGTTAGTATAACTTAAACTAGTAATACTACAACAACATGTCCAAGATAAATATCAAGCAGAACCTATCATTGTGTAACTATCCCCTAGTTAGTGCTCTCTGGTGGACACACTGTGAAATCACCCTGTTTCCAATGACTGTTAGCCTAGTTTGGATTTCTGTGCTGCAAGTTCTCGTTTCTTTTTAGGCAATAAAGAGTGTGTAACTTAATCAGGACTTTCAGTTACGTTGGTGGGATATTTACTTTCTCATCAGATGCCATAGTGAGGGTACAGGGTTGATTACATTCATGTGTATTTATCTGTTATGTCTTGTCCTGGCAGCTGTTTCTATAATCTGAGCATAGTTTACAATAGTTCATATTTCCTACCAACTACAGTGTGATTTAAGGCCACACCTCCATACCTACTTAAGGTGGAACTTGAGCTGTTGAATAATTAAAGGGTTAAAAAGGAAATAAATCTTACAGTTCCTTAAAAAGCTCCAAAATGTCAGATGCAAAAAATGCCCATAAAAACCTTTGAGTAATGACTGTCTGTAGTTGCTTTTACCAACTCATAATCATCAAGCCTTCCTATAAATGATACACGATGACTTAACAGATATCATATTACAAAACCAAAGGGTTAAATGTAGCTTCTATGGTTAAACCTTGTGATTTGTGTGCGTTGGCTTTACTTCTTTATGGTTTGGAGTCTAAACAAACAATAAGGAAAGACCAAGCAAAGAAATGTTTCATTATATTGTTATGCATTCAAAATATATCCTCTTTCTTTATAAAGGGTGGGGACCTTTTCTTTCTGACCAACAGAGAGAGCTGCAGAGCTGCTGTTCCAGTCATTTACAGACAGATAAATGTACATTATCCTCACTTATTTGGGTGAGTTATACTCCAAATAATTCTATAAACCTACTGTAACTAAACTGTTTAAAAACTCTATAATAATCAAACACAGATTTATTTAGGAGGGAAGTACTGTCTTCAAAAGTAGAACTCAATACAGGCTTTGTTTCCCCCTCAAGCCACATCATGGCTCTCTCAACCCAGAGGCCTTTAGTGTCCCAGATTTAAACAGTTAGGCATTTAGGTGTGTTATTATGCACACACGGATCACATTACATACAGACATGTCCTATTCAGTATTTAACCTTATATATGCTCCTGTTGTGTGCCCTGCACTGTTTATCACACAAACAAGTGGATAAAAGAAAGCAGAATCATCAGCCAGGTTGCGAAACACCAACAGACCCTCAGTAAAGACAGATGTAACCGCGAGAGTGTTCGGTTCCTCTCACATTTTACATGTTATTGAAAAGATATCATCAAATTATACTGACGGGGGGGGTTTTGTTCATTTGTCCATTCTGTCTGTCTCTGGTTTAGTTTGTGGAAGTAAGACTAAAGCGGCTTTCTGACTCATGGCTGCCCTTTACCTTCAACCAGCTTTAAAGTGCTTCAGAGCTCAGTCTGTTTGTTTGTTTGTGGTCAAAAACAAATGGTTTCTAAAACTCTCATTAACTGATTTTCAATATTCACTTCTTTAAAAACTTCCCCTTCACACTTTCAAACAGAGAGAGTTTCAGAAGATGTTTTTAACTCTATGATGTTGAGTATCAGAAATCTGTTGGAAGGTGCCAAATCACAAGATTATTTAAACTGCATGATAAAAAAAAAGATTCACTTTACAGCGCAGTGCGTTCTTGCAGATTTTGGCATCAGTCTTTCCGGTTCAGTGTTTCTTATCATAGTAACCAGCAGGGGCGTTTCCTGGACCTGGAAACATCCGGGGCTTAGCCCACAGTGGCGGCACCAGAGATTTTCTTTTGGGGGTGCTGTGGGGTAGCTTGACGTTTCATAGAGGGTGCTCCAACATGTAGGGTTTCCCATTAAGGTACCGGGCGCTACAGTGGAATTTTCTACTGCAACACTCCCCACACGCACATACACAGTCTACCCGCGACTGTTACAATGAAGGATTGATAATCAGCTCACGGCATATAGGTGTAAGCAGGGTCTTCCCGGGGGCATGCTCCAAATGTTTTTTCTTTAGCCCCGAACAATTCTCCCTCAATAATAATACATTAACCGTGCTTTACCTGAACCTCATCATGACACTAGAGAGGACGGTAGGATTGTAATTTTTTGCATCTGACATTTTGGAGCTTTTTAAGGAACTGTAAGATTTATTTCCTTTTTAACCCTTTAATTATTCAACAGCTCAAGTTCCACCTTAAGTAGGTATGGAGGTGTGGCCTTAAATCACACTGTAGTTGGTAGGAAATATGAACTATTGTAAACTATGCTCAGATTATAGAAACAGCTGCCAGGACAAGACATAACAAATAAATACACATGAATGTAATCAACCCCCTACCCTCACTATGGCATCTGATGAGAAAGTAAATATCCCACGAACGTAACTGAAAGTCCTGATTAAGTTACACACTCTTTATTGCCTAAAAAGAAACGAGAACTTGCAGCACAGAAATCCAAACTAGGCTAACAGTAATTGGAAACAGGGTGATTTCACAGTGTGTCCACCAGAGAGCACTAACTAGGGCAGGGGTACTCAAACTTTTTTATTAAAGGTCCAGTTGTGAACTTTACCCCCCCCCCCCCCCCCCCCCGAGCGGAGAAACGAAACTGAAATTAAGAAGCAGTTTCTTGGCGCTCTATGCATGGGGGGTTTTCCCGACATGTCGTTGCAGTAAATTAAAGGGTGTTTCATGTTGTCGTTGCTGTGGACCTTCTTAATCTACCTTCTTTGGGGGCCCCCTTCTGCTCCAAGCACTTGCCTGCCTTGCCTGCCTTGCCTGCCTTGCCTGCCTTGCCTGTCGGTAAACGGCGCCCCTGTAAACACACACACATTCAATACATACATACAGTATGGTGGCTTGAACTAGTGGGAGAAATGGCACTGTTTGTCTGTAGTCAATGCAATTGAACCTCGGCAAAAAAGGCATTAGAAGCATTAGAAAGTCAAGGTAAACTTGCGGTTAACTTGCGGTCTGCTATGCGTGTCACGCTCGCGCACACAAGTAAATATATATGCACGTTCATTCTCACAACTCGTCAGACACAAGACGCGCGTACATGATGATGTACATTAATTTATCAGAATCAGAATTTTTTTTTTTTTTTTTTTTAATAATGGGACACAGGGTTCGGTCCGGATTGATTTGCAGTTCAGTCCGGATCCGGACCTTGGTCCGGAGTTTGAGAAGCCCTGAACTAGGGGATAGTTACACAATGATAGGTTCTGCTTGATATTTATCTTGGACATGTTGTTGTAGTATTACTAGTTTAAGTTATACTAACACATCTAAATCTGGGGGATCTGTATCTAGAATATAAGATTATGAAATATATTTGTCTTTTAGAAATTACTTTAAGTAGTTTGCATGGGTTGAGCTGTGGAAGTGGAACAAGTTACTTTTGAGGTTTGTACTATAGGTTTGTATAAAGATCTTTATTTGTCGTTGTGCTCAGAACAAAAACAAATCTAAGTAACAAAGAACAGCAAGTAAAAACTTTTAGCAGCAGAAAAAGCCAAAGAAAA